GAGTATCTGATCTCTGGCATATGCATTGTCTGATATATGAATGATATCATTGACCTCTGGTGCCCAAATCTCTTCATACTTGCAAGCAATTAGCATTGAGCTAATGCCAACTAACTGAAGTTCCCTCCTGGGAACTGTCTTCACCGAGAGGAAACGGTCCAGTATGTTCATTGTAAGGTAAAGACTTTCAGGCATTAGCTCAAACTTCCTATGAACTTCTATTAACCAGTCCACAAGAATGGCTCTCATCTTATGATTCAGCTCTGGTTGAAAATCCATATAGTCACTCACTCGACCTTCGTCCTGGAATAGACACAACAGACAACCAAGTAGCATATGAGATTCTAAAAGTGGAACACAAACAGTACAGAACAAGCAAAAGAGAGTCACCATATATACCTCAGTGAGCTTGTAGAAGTTGTAGATGTCCTCAACATACTCCACAGCAGCCAAATGATTATCAACATCCGCAGCATCGATGTCGTCTATCTTTGGTCTATTGGCAAGTCCACAAGCAGCCTGAGAAAGAACACAATTTTCAGAATCTTGATATTACTCAAAACTACACTATTTATCTAAATTCTAAAGAGGGGAAAAACTAAATGTACATAATAACCTTGCTTCTTGCAGTGAGGGTAGAAGTGAGAGTCTTCCCAGATTTCTTTGTTTTTCTTCTGCCACTCAAGGGACTTTGCTTCACTTCCTTATCAGGGCTTATAACAATAACAGTTTCAGGTGCAAGGTTGTCTGATGCTGCCTTCTTAACTTGTACCTTTGTAGGAACAACTTTGTTGACGACTTCTGCAAGTGGTTTCTACAGACAAAAAGAAACAAAACACAAATTATATCATCCACCATTTCAAGATTCATAAATCCATTTCTTTTAATGTGTTAAGGTAAATCTTCACCTTGTTCTTCTCAGCTTGTGCATTAGCTAGCAACTGTGCACAAAAGCTCCTAGTAGCAGGACGAGTAATCTGCGCTGCTTTAGGCTTCCCTTCAACAGCAGGAACAATCACAAGGTTGCCTATGTCTCCGAGTACACGCCTATTTTTCCCAGCAACTTGTCCAATTTTCTGTTTACCACCCATTTCTCCTCCTATACAGATTAGTAGATTTCTCATGAGACATATGATAATGTTCTTGCAACATACAATTAGAGATTCCAATTTTCAATTAGTCAATCATCAAATCAGCATCAATATCAAAAGAAAATCGGCTATGAAATCAACTTTCATCAGTAAAAGAATCCATAATCATCAGTCATCAAACAAAAAGAATCAACAAAATAATCTATCATTGCGATATCAAGTATTTCAAGAATCCCACCATAAACACACAGAAAAAGAACACTTTTTTCGTCTTAACACGAAAAAACCCATCTATCATGCTCATTTCATACAGATTACAAATATTTCAAGAACCCCACCATAAGCACAAAGAAAAAGAACATTTTTTCATCTTAATACCAAAAAAAAGCATCTACCACTATTTCCCTCCGATATCAAAAATTTCAAGAACCCCACTGTAAACACAAAGAAAAAGAACAATTTTTTCTTCTAAATTCGAAAAACCCAGATAACATTACCTGAATTTTCATTCAAATCCCACTATAACCTCACAAGAAAAGAACAATTATTCCGTCAAAATACGTAAAACCCAGATGAAATTCAATTGAAACTCAGTCAAAAAAGGAAGTAAAAAAACAGGGAAAGCTAAAAAACAGGCGAAATTTCAGAATTTCATTCAAACCTCTGGGTAAAGAACAATTATTCCGTCTAAATACATAAAACCCAGATGAAATTCAATTGAAACTCAGTCAAAAAAGGAAGTAAAAAAACAGGGAAAGCTAAAAAACAGGCGAAATTTCAGAATTTCATTCAAACCTCTGGGTAAAGAACAATTATTCCGTCTAAATACATAAAACCCAGATGAAATTCAATTGAAACTCAGTCAAAAAAGGAAGAAAAGTACACAAAGAAGCTAAAAAAAGGGCAAAATTTCATACAAACCTCTGGGTAAATTATGAGGAACAACAGCTTTATTATGATCCATTTCAAATTCTTCTTCCTCTTCTTCTTCTATCTGATTATTACTCTGTCCAAAAACTCCACCAATACTCGTCAAAATCGATGACAGAAAAGAATGGAGACGACTATTCCCCGCCTCTCCTCCTTCTGTACTTTGAGTCGCCACTATTTCTCCCTTTCGTACAATTCTTTTTGTGAATTTTTGAAGTTTTTTTCCACAGATTTGTGAGTTAACAAAGAGAATGTATGAAGAAACTATATGAGATTTATATGGAGGAACAAAAATGGCGAAAGGAGCGTTTATTGACTTTTTAACGGTCATATTTTTGGCTTTTGAATAAGGACCGTTAGATGGAAACTGATCGGACGGTTGAGATTTGTTTTAGTAACAAAAAAGGCTCTTTTTTTTACTAGCCGTTAGAAGGGATAGTATGTGAGAAGACACTGGGATTGTTACCGTTTGGTAAAAAAGGAAAATTAATATCAAAGGGCAAAATAGGTAATTATTTTGATTTTTGAATTTTTTTATAATTTTATCAGAATTTTACACAAATATTATAGCGTTAAGAGCTAATTATATCATATCTTTACTCTTTTCCAAATTAAAAAAATCCCTTAAATTTGGTGGAATCCGGAACATCCCAAAACGTTCTAATACATCGCGTTTCAATTTCAGATACATCGCTCAACGTCTCGATACATCACGTCTGAGTTTTGATACATCGTGTACGTCCCAATACATCGCATAAAGTGATGTAACCGAGAATAGGAGAGAGTACTCAGAGTAGTGATTTTCTTAAATGATAGGAAATTTTAGAGAATATGATAAAAATAAGTTGTATAATTAGGTAATTTTTCCTAATTTTATACCATTTAAGAGTTAGTTCAATATTTAGAGCAAATGATCTTCTATATCAATTATTAGTGATTCTATAACAACATTATATCCGGTGTAATTCCACAAATTGAGGTATCAGGAGAGTAAAGTGTATGCTGATATTACCACTCAGTACTATCTTAAAGAGAGAGATTTTGTTTATGATATAGCCTCAGCTCAAGAAAAAAAAAAAATCTAAAGCAATATAGAAAAAAGAATAACTAAAATGAAGAAACTCATCGCGAAATACTATAGACAACCTGACAAATCATTTTAAGCAATAATCATTACAAATAAACGATAATCAAAATGTCAAAGAAATCATAGACAATAATCGAACTCAAAGGACAAACAATACAAGAGTAATATTATGATTAATAGTTAAAGAATAAGTGAGACGACACAACTATCTAACTAACCTCTTACCCTAATTTGTTACCTCCATAATGATATTATCTAAGACCATGTTCTTAGTAAATTGAAATTGCGTCATGTCTTGTCTAATCGCCTCTCCCCAATACTTTTTCAGCGTATCTCTACCTCTCTTGAAATCATCTATAACCAACCTCTCACACTTTTGCACTAGGACATCCATTGCATCTCCTCTGCACATGCTCAAATCATCTGGGTTTCGTTTCTCACATTATATAATCTATCAAGATCATTCCTACCTTATACTTTTAATAATCCCATGTAATATTTTTTAATGTTTTTTAACATTTTTAAAATATTATTTTTAAGGATAAGACATAGAAACACACCTAAGCTATATAGTGGATTCCATATTTTTTCTTCTTCGTATTATACGTTATTAAGATACAAAGCATATGAAATAATAAAATAAAAAGTAATATGCATGAAAGAATGAGAAACTACATAATTATATTAAATAACACCAAGGACAAGAAGAGAGGGAGTGCCCCAACTTCTCCGCATAAAGTTTGTTAAGTTTAGTTAAATCATTAACATGAATTTCACTTAGAAAAAAAGTGCAAATTATGTGATTAAATTACTATTTCGTATCCTCAAACCAACAATATACAAAGTATAATCCCACAAAGTGAGATTTGATATTCTTGAACCCGTTTTTCAAATTTTAACTAACCATTCGAAGTTGAAATGGAAAAAAATAAAAATCAAAAATCAAAAGAAAAAATATTTGTTGTTTTTTCATTTAATTTTGTGAACAAAAATGTTAAATGATGAAAAATAAATTAAGAAAAAGAATGGAGATGCGGGGGATCGAACCCCGTGCCTCTCGCATGCAAAGCGAGCGCTCTACCATTTGAGCTACATCCCCATGTGATTGTATCTTACATAGATATCATTAATATATATTTTACTATTACAAATCATAAAATGTGAAATGTGAAATGTTCTTTACTCGCTACAAGTATTTTGCTCTACTTCTCATAGCTATCGTTATATTTTTTGACTCATGGAAAGTGAAAAGGTAGAAACGGCTAGTCAGTCACGAACCACTTGACTTCCTTATAATGATTCAAAGTTTAATAAGCTCATTCAATCTTTAATTTGAGCCTTTGCTAATAGTTATGGGCAACAATTCCTTAATTAGGAGTGTGCAAAAATCAAACTGGCCAATAAATCGATCAAACCAACGGACACCCCTAATTAGTATATACAAAACGAACTTCTTTCTTTTTTACAAAATATAAATTTGTGTGTCAATTTTATATTTTAAAAATGAAATCATGATATAGAATTACCAAATCAACTTTTTTCAAGAATTTTGGATTTCATATCATGTCCGAACCCTAATTTCATTAATAAAGTGTGCAACTCACTTATGAGTAGACAAGACATGGTTGATTACTCGAACTCATAACATGTGTCTAAGCCATCAAAAAGAAAGTTGAATCTTTAAATGTTTTTCCCTCTACAATATTATTATTGTTTAGATACAACCAAAAAACTATCAACATCTTGCCACTCTACATAAATAAAGTTGAATACCCAATCTTCTCGAACAATGTGGAAGGGCTGCATCACGCATTGTGATCTTACCACTAGATCAACGCCTTCGTTTTTCTAAAAAAAAAATAAAAAAAAAATATTGCAAATTTGCTTACCAAGTAAAAAGGACACAGTAAGGTAAGAGTCCATTTCATCTTCAGTTTTTCATGTGCATCTAAACATATACAGATAAAACAAAGATCAAACATGCTAAGATCTATCTCCCAACTCCCTAATAAGATGTTTCATAGAGGATACACATTCCTATATCTATCAGGACTACAGTACCTTCTGCAAAAGAACTAAAGAAAGCACTCGATCAGAATGAAGTCGTTCGTCTTTGCTGATATCTTGGTTCAGACGACAACTCGGATAACATGTTCTCCAGCTCCTGTGCAAGGTAAAAGAGTTCAGTGACAGTCACTAAAAAGACAACAAGCTGGTTTGCTGAACTTAAGAACAGAAATAAGAAAAGGTGGTTTTTTGTAACATGTAGATGTAGGGCGCTTTGCTGAGTTTGGACGGATGTCTTAGACCAGTAGGCCAAATAACAAGACATCTAGAAAACCAAGTAGGCAATATACAAGAAAGACTTCATCAATAAAGAGCAAACTATTCATGTCATGCCTACATGGTTTCAGATTTGCACGCCTTGCAACTCTCTTCCGAACAACTTTACAAGAAAAAGGAGAAGTATAGATTCGAAATAACAGGAGGTGTGAAAAATGATTTAGCTATTTGAAATCCTAAAATTCACATTGTCAAGAAATCAGACAAATAGAGTAACCTGTACTGCTTTACCAGATAATTAACAATATGAGAAAGAGCAGAACCTGTACAACAAAGTCTACTAATTTATTTGGTTTAATCATTCGGTATCTGAATCCCACTAGCACTAACAAGACATTTAAAATGGCCAAGGGATCTACCATAGCTGCAAACACACTCCAACTGATGATCCCAATAATACCAATCAGAGATAGATCTTTCACAAATCCCATATATCAGTTATTGAGAAGACATGTATACCATATATCTCGAGCTGATGGTCTATCGGAAATAGCCGCTCTACCTCACAAGGTAGAGTAAGGTCTGCGTCACTATACCCTCCCTGAACCCCATCTGTGGGATCACACTGGATATGTTGTTGTTGAGAAGATATGTGATGGAAATCCTATGTCATGTAGAAAGTAACCGGTACCACGGATCACATGTTTAAAGGTTTTTAAACACACCATATATTTAATATAATTACTTCAAAGGGAATATCAAGCGTGTATTCAAAGGTCTGATTTTTAGAATGGTAATCCTATGGCACAAACACCACATTCACTCTTGATATTGTAGATAAGAGGGTTCAATATCCCTACAGATTTAGGCTCATTGTAACCAATCACTAGCACTATTGGCTCAGGTTTTCTTTCCTAGAGAGTAGAGACTAAGAAAAATAAAATACATCAAAAAAAGGCTAAAGTATACAAGCTTTAATATAATAAGTCCTTATGTTGCCCAGAACCAAGGTGAAGTGATCAACAAACATCATAACACCAAAAGGCCTACTTTTGGATCGTAAAGCAAAAACCAACTCTTGCCATAAGAAAATCTTAAATGTGTTGATCCCAAACGATCAAGCTGTAAGGAGTTAGCAGGAAGAAGATTTCTTCTTGTCAGTCCGTAAACAAACCATCAGAAGAAGGTTTAACCAAACTATCATGAGACCAAATTTTAGCATAAGGGAAATTCTCCTCAAAACTGACAAGTGCACTACGATGCAGTCAGATGCACGGAAAAAGGTCGTAGAACATGAACCAGAAGTGAAACAAAATACTGACAAGAAAAATAAAATGAATGCTAGCTCATAAAATTACTAATACCTATCTAGATTAATTTTTTTTTAATTAACATCTTCCCAACTCTTTCCTGCACCTCCTCTTTCTTCTCCTTTTCTATAACTTAAGGAAGCAAATATCACTTTGCCTAACAGGGGAGGAAGGAAAAAGGGAAGTACCAAAGTAAACTCAACTCTAAACAATAAGAAACAAACAAGAAATCACTGAAGGGAAACTCATTCAATCACTGTGTACTACAAGCATCTAGGACTATCAGTTCACCAAGCATCCCAAAAACACCTGATGAATCATCAAAGGCAGCATTCACTTATAACCATTGCATCAATTGTTCAGAAAGGCAAAATTTGCATTAGCATAATAAAGCAAAACAACCTTTTCTGGGTAAAAGCACTGTAAACTTTCTTTTTGACTGGTAAGAGAATAGTATTCTAAATCCCCACCCCACTAAACTATTCAAAGACACTGGTGATACCAAACAATCCATCACAACCACACAACACACATGACACAAGTAAGTGCACAATAGATGGATGGGAACTTATTTACATTGGAGAAATTCAAAAGCATTATCTATACATTGTAAAATGCAATTGATTATCATATATGTACTAGCCTACCTAATGTTTCCTAACAATTTTTTTTAAAAAATAATCCCTTATCATGCATTTCCAATCCTCTATCTTTAGAGCAATTCGACAAATGGTCTATGAACTAAGCACAAATGTAGAGGATATGCAACTCTGCACTTTCCAAGTTAAGCTAAAAATATTCAAACATAGTCACTACAATTGACTTCTTTTTTTTTGGGGGGGCTGGGCTTACAACCAAGACCTTCCGATATATGTAAACTCCTTGATCTTAGCATTCTCATTTTATCTTTATGACATACTTTTGGAGGTACTAACATGTAGGAGACCAATAAATACCAAGAGTGAAGAAGACTCTTTATTACTTTGAGAAGAGATCCAATGGTGTGTTTTTCTACCTTTCTTTGATATGAAGCAAGATTACCTGAATGTAAAAACTTTTGACCCCTGTTTTCAAGACTTATGGAGGCGAGATAGATAGGATATCCCTCAGAAGGAGAATGAAGATTATTATCATTCTCCCCACTTTTTAGTTCACTAACATGTCCTTACTATTTTTGACAGCTCACTAAAAAAAGGGCCTTCTCGACATTCATACAAATTTCCCAAAAAAGAATTCATTGGATTGTCAAAAAGAACCATATCTGCTTGATTGATTGCCCGAAAATTGTGCAGAGAATGGCGTTTTGGGTGAAGCAAAGTTGAGGGAAATAAATTCTTTATCAAAAAAAAGTTGAGGGAAATAAATTTGGGGAGGATGCTAATGTACTACCTTCATGTAGTAGTTTAGCAAGACCCAAATAATATATATATACACACAGAGACACACACTAAACAATTGACAATGGCAAATATCATCAGCATCGATATCAGTCTAGGTCAAGATAAATGGAAGATACTTCTGGAACTAGTTTTTGGTATTTGGTATGTTATATATATTTAACTTATTTCTATCTTAAGCTCCTTGTCTAGTCAAATACTTTCATATAACACAAAACAACCATGAATAAACCTTATTGTTCAAGAGTTTTTGGTTTGTTGGTCCGTTTATTATTTGCTCTATTTCTATCTTAAGTATTTTCTGTGTTCTTCTTGAGCCACAGTAATATACACACATCAGACATGCATTAAAGGCAAATAGTAGACAATGGTGTTAGGTCCCCCTCCCCCTCTTTCACAGAGATACCCTATGCAAGTATCTTTAGTAGGTGTTGTATTCTTATACCATTTGCTTCAAACTTAACTGGAAAGGCAATATAATCCTTTTTCAAATATTTGCGGCAAGTTAAAGGAACAATTTGTTAACACCATAAAGATAGCAGACAGTAATGCACCAAAGTTGAAGATAATGTATCCATAAAGCAAAAAGAATTAGGGTTCATAAAGCAAAACCCATAATGTATAATTAATTGAACTTGTATCTATTCAAGAAACTGAGTTAATATGTTATCTTGAACCCATTAAGCGCAAGGGTTCAAAACCTAAAATCTTGAATTTGTCTGTAAAATCAAATCAATTAAATCTCTGTAAAACACGTAATTACTTTGAATGAAAATGAAAAAAACCCCATGAATTGTACCTTTATCCTTTTCTTCACCATCTTATTAAGGCCGTGTCTACCGTTGTAGAACTTGAATAAATAAACCTAAAATCTTGAATGTTGGGTGTAAAAACAAATAAATTAATTTTGAAAACCATTATTACCTGTTCTCCGTATGGTTGTGAAGGTCGACAACATTAGACATGGCCTCTAAAGATGGTGAAGAAAAGGAACGAGGCAGTATACTAACTAATTTCACAGAGGATCTTGAAATTAACACATACCAATGTTTATATAGGGTTCATCCACTATGCCGCCGCCTTAAGAAAAGAGAGCGAAAAACAATGGTATTTTGAAATATGCCGCCAACATCTCTAAGGCCACATAAACAATGGTTTGTTAAAAAAGATATCTCAAGTTTAACAATATGAATAAGGGATAAGTATCCAACTTTGTCGGATTTGCTGTTGCGATACTAAATTTTTATGAGGATCTATTAGCTTTCTAAACTATTTAATACTGTATTTTAAACATATATATTTGTCCATGTGAACATAAAAAATAATGCAAAATTATAAATAGTAACGTGTCCACGTGGACACATATATACCTTTAAAATACATTATTAAATAGTTCAGGGGTAAAAAAATACGGTATTAAATAGTCTAGAGTGATAATAGGTCCTTATGAAAGTTTAGTATCGCAACAGCAAATCCGACCAAAGTTGGTATTTTTCAAACTCTTATCCCTATAAATAAACACAGGTCCCAATCATCATTATTTGAAATTTACAATGTTTGTTTGTGGTATTTTTAATTTTTTAAAAGTTAATGATATTTGTTTTCTTTTTTGTAATAATAATATAATATTCACGATCTAACATTATTAATATTCAAAATAAAAGATAATTTATAAATAAAAAGATAAACAAATAAAGTCATAACTCATGAGGACGAAAAAAAAGATCCTAGTGAGATTTATGTAAATTAATGTCATGCTTAAGTGAAGGATGTGCCTCAGCAAGTTCTTGGATTCCTGATTTGGAAAGTATTATTTGGGCATGAGATTTGTTGCAACAACGAACTCGATGGAGAGTATGAGGTGGAGAAAACATTAAGATTTGGAGTGATCCTTAGATTCTTAATTCGATCGTTTGAAACTCGTATAAGAACATACATAAATAAATCCACAGTTGATGATAAGCGACCTTATAGATCAATACCATCATATATGGAATATTCAAGATCATCATCATCATTTTTGCCATAATGATATCAACTCTATTTTGTTTATCCTAATATCTAGTACTGAAAATTCTGATAAAGTTATCTAGAACTATACAAATTCAGAAAAGTACGAGATTACAAGGTAAGATTTGGTTATCATCTAGTGAAAAGTCTAGCTAATAATATTTACCCTAGAATTGAAAGACTTCAAGTCAGTGGTTAGTCTTTTTCAAAATCTTTTTCGACTTTTTTATGATCACTTAAATAAAAAATAGTTTTAATACATATCTTAATATTTAAATATGTATTCAAATCCAATGTTCTAATTTTAACGAATAAATAGTCGAATGCCTTCATTTTGTTGTGGAATTCTTTTATTCCAAATAATTCTAATCTATCCTACGTTAAATACCATGAGTATTTAACAGAGAGAGAAAATAATATTTCCTTGACTACAATTTCTTTATATTTTCCTAAGCATTCTAATTATAATAAGTTCTGATTTATCACAAAATTTGTGTAGTTCTTGACTATGTATATCTTGTTAAAGAAATAAGAGTTTGCACAAATAAAAAACTTAGAACACTTTTCATTGGCCGTTCAAAAATCGAACTGATCGATAAATTAAATTGAAAAAGTGTTATTGATTTATTATTATTGAATTATTGAGTTAAAAGTTTTTAATGGTTTTATAGAAGAAAATTCAGTTTTGACTTTTTAATATTGGGTTATTGTTTATAAATCATTAACCCATTAAGACTGTAATAATTTACTACTTTACTCATACATAAGTATTAAATATTAATCTCAATACATTATTAGTTATTGTCTTTGTCCTTTTGCCTTCAATTCACACTTCACATTGACTTTGAGTTTACAACTTCATATTATACAAAAAAGCAAGAACCATATTCCTCTTAATTTCTCTTTCTGTTACACTTGTATAGTTCTTTTCATGTCAGTTATTATTGTTTCTATTTTATGAGTATTTGTAAAATTACATTATTGTCTTTCTGTGTCAAATTTATTAGAGAAGTCATATATTTATTTTATAAGCATTTTCTTATTGGTTAAACTGAGAATCTAATCGTTAATGAGTAAAATCGATAAATCGAAAACCGATAAAAAATATCTTATTAATTTGATTATTAATTTAACGTATTTAAAAACCAAAAACCGAACCGATAATACATAAAACCAAATTGAACCAGCCGATGCACACCCCTACCCTTGATTAGTGAAATTGACATCTTCCGGCTGCATTAGTATATTAGGTTCACAAGTTGTCCTAATCATTGAGTTTATACATACTTTGTATTTAATCCCCTAGAGAGTGCCATTGATTTATTTTTTTAATGACTATGGTGTGAAGACAGTGTATGCGCACTTAGACTAATTCAATGGGATATCTGTTATCTTCCATCAATAATATGTATCAAAAAATTTTATCCATCAAAACTAGTACAAATGAGAAGAAATCACCTTCTTCTTTTTTTGTCTCTATTGAATTTGAGCTTGAGCACTCATAATTTCCTTGATCATTAGACCACGCCATTGGGTTCGGTGCTATTGTTATTGAAGATGAATTGTTGACAAATTCAAAATTAAGGAACTCTTGTAGCTTTCATTACAAATAGAATACAAGTAAACATATAACACATACAAATTAGGGGTGTACAAAACCAAATCAAACCGCAAATCGAGTCAAATCGAACAAAAACCGACTAGTGATTTGGTTTGACTTGATTTGGTATTGGGAAAAAAAACCCAACTCTATTTGGGTTGGTATGGTTTTAACTAAAAAAAGCCAGCCCGAGACCAAACCAACCCGACATTATATATGTAATTTTAAAATTTTATTTTATACATAAAAATATTTACATTGATATAATTTTAAAATATTTCTTATACTATTTCATAGTTTTAATCTTTTAATATATTATTTCAAGTTTAAAACTTAGAATTCGGAATGGTCCAATAAAAATTATAGTTCATAGATGTTGATAATTATAATAAAACTTAATCAAAATCAAATTAATACTAATGCAAAAAGAAAATCAATTCAACACTAAGAATGACAATAATATTGAATATTTGTTCTTTAGTTTTACAATGGTTTAGATAATTAAAATACATAATCTAATTTTAATTTTCCTTAAATATTTAGTAATGTAACTAATACTTATTAAACTTATTTTAGCATGATTTAGTACTTTTAAATTATGATCATTTTCATTGTGACTTTGCAATATTTATTTTATATGATGATTTCATTATTATTTTTTATTGAATATTTTAGTGTCATCACTCATCTCATATTTTGTGTTATTTTCTTAAGAAACACCTTAGATAATTGTATCTTAAATTAAAATTCGACACAATGGTTTGGTTTGGTATTTGAAAAACCCGAACCAACCCAAGTTGAAAAATCCAAATTTTATTAGTTTGATTTGGTTTATAAATTTAAATTTTTTACACAAATGGTGCGATTTGATATTTGGAAAATTCGAACCAACCCGGTCATGTACACCCCTAAATACAAACATTGCCAAGAAGATGAATTGTTGATAAATTCTTAATTAAGGAACTCTTGTATCTTTCATTGCAAATAGAATACAAGTACATAAAACACATACAAACATTACCAAGGAGATTGCTTCTACAAAATGTTCATACAAACATTCCCAAGGAGATTGCTTCTACAAAATGTGCAGAAACAATTATTGAAGTTTGAGTAGACTTGAGAAGAGTACAAAACAACAACATATCCATAGTAACTCCACAACTCCTAATATTTTTACTGTGTAGTAATTTTATAACAAAGGGGTGTCAGTCGACAACCCTCAAGTATATGTGGCGCCGCCACTGGAGGGTAAGATGTACGAAGACCTTACCCCTACATATGTGGAGTATAGAGGTTGTTTCCGATTAGACTTGCAAAAATATTACCAGATGAATGCAGTGACCCAGTTGTGGGTGATCTCTAACTTCCAAGGAATAGGTCTTTAATAAGTAACAACTCATGAAAAATTCACATCTTTTTTTTTTCAAAAGACCTGTCAAATGGGAAGTCATTGCAGAAAACAAACAAGTCACAAACAGATGTATTCCCCAATTCTTTGCTGGGGAATGGGAGCTTGGTTCTCTCTTAAGTTGTACAATTTAAATGTCGTGGACATTGTAACGAGCAGCAAATGCTCTAGGACAAAATCTCACCCCCGGAAAACAAAAGACGAGGGTGGAGCCTGAAAGGGGGGGCATCATCCCCCAATTTATACAAAAGGCAAGGTTGTTTGAATGAAACAGTAAATGTGAAGACTGCAAAACTACTGTGTCTTTGGTAACGGAAGCAAGCAGTCATATACCCGTTCCATCCGTGATGTAATCCTGAGTTTATGTGCAGTTTGAAGATCTGGTTTCGCCAAGTCAATGATATCCTGCCTCAAACTGTTCACATGTAAATGTCATATTAGAGTAAAAAAAATTCAGAAAATATATTTTGAAAATCCATGACAGAAAAAGTATGGGTTAAGATAAATGACGAAGAAAAACAAACATTATCCATTCACCAGTCGCCCTTGCATGTCCTTCCACAGCACAGTATAAGCGATCCAGATAATATAATGCCAACCCCAACATGCATTGAGCATCTTTTTCCTGAGGAGTTCGGGGAAAAGACGAAAAAAGTGAATAGGAGAACGAAAACAAGAACAACTCCAAGCTATGGCAGCATTACATGCAAGCACCAAGGTTTTATCTAACAAACTAACTGGAGAGCAAAAGATTTTTGTTGCATTACCGTTAGGGAGAAAGTGAATAGGATTGAGCAAAGGGTTCCAATTTACTAGATGAAAATGGATTGCATGATAGTGGAAGAAATATGAGATTCTCAAACGCGCAAATACTATTGTACAAAAATTTAATAAAGATGCTGGTAAAATTCAAAGGGCCTTACTTGTCCTTGCTCTTTGTAGCTTTCTAATTGCATAATCTTTCTCTCTACTTCCACAATTAGCAGTCGTCGTTGAATTCGGGCAACCCTTCCCCTGCCTTCTGCTTTCTTATCCTGATTATATTCAACATTTAATGGTGTTATATGATTTCGCACAGCATGGCAAGACTCTTA